ATTCTTAGCCTCCTGAATGCTGGGATTACAGGTGTGTGCCACCCAGCATGAGCAGAATTATTTAAAACATTGTATAATAAATCTAGGCTTGATGTTGTGCATTGTTGTGTTCCTTCAGCTACCTGGGAGGCTGAGATGGAAGGATTGTTTGAACTCAGGTGTTAGAGCCCAGCTCAGGCAGTGTAGTGAGACCCTATCTCAGAAAAGAAAAGTAAAATTACCTTCAGGCTATATGTATAAAATGTATATGAAATATAAATGAGTCAAACACAGTGACTCACATCTGTAATCCCAGCTGCTAAGGAGGAGGCTGGAGCAGAAGGATCAGGAGTTCAAGGTCAGCCTGGGCAGTGAAACAAGACCTTGCCAAAAAAAATGAATTTCACATTTAGTCTTGGGCTCTTACCTCCAATATACGTAATTATATACATGCAAATATTACAAAATCCAAAAGCTGAAGCACTTACGGTCTCAGGCATTTCATAAAAGGGAAATATTTAACATGTATTCTCATTTTACAGATGAGAAATTAGAAAAAGAGCTTGTGGGCCCAGATTGCATACACAGTGAACAGCCAAGCCAATCTGACCTTCATCCATATACCATGACGGTGGTCCCCTTTGACTCCTAATTTAGTAAGATGAGGAAGCTATCACTCCTATTCTTTCTTACATTTCTTCTTTTCCGATGCTGTTTTGATTCTTATGTCCTTGTGGTTTGTTCTTTCTATTCCGAATTTCACAAAGATAGTTCATTTTTTATTCATCCACTTTGGTACTTGGGTGGTACTGCAGTACTTTGTAGAATGCTTTTCTTCCTTCAGTATATTAGGAATGCTTTTATTCCTTCAGTTCCAGTCTTTTTCCTCTGGCACTCTAATATTGATCTCCCTTTTTTTTGTTTTCTGTCTCATAGTTTTTCCTTCTAAGAGACTAAGTCTTCTAAGAGATTTTGTCTTATACTTCTCCTAGTGATTATTTCAGCAATCATATGTCTTTGTTCTGATTTCCTTCTTTGAGCTTCATTATTTTTATTAAAGTATAAAGCCTGAGACTACTAATTTAAATTGTTAATATGATTTTTAGCCTGTTCTTTGAATTTACCACATTCCTGTCATGTTGCAGTTTTCCTCCAACTCTATAAAGTTCTTATTAAAGAAGGACAGTACAGAAAATCTGACCAGACTACTGTTCGCTTAGGCAGGTTCTGTTGATTGAGAGATTTGCATTATCCTGAGCAGGCTGACACCTTATTCTGGGGCCATCCCCACTCTAATCAATGATAAAATGAACAGATTATCCAGTCTCTTTGATGAAAAACCTCTCTTTACTACCTTTCCTTTCTCCTGGTCCTCTCCTACCCTCTCTCTCTTCTTTTTTGTGTACCTGGGAAAATAAACATAACTGCAGGTGTTGGGCATTTGGTGTGGGCGTGGTGGGAAAGTGGTTCTTAAATAAACATTTAATTATTTGAAACCGCGCTTTCATTCTTTTTGTAACTTCTTTGGGTTAGCTCTTTTCACATGTAGTCTGGTTTCTGTCTTTTCTAGGTTTCACTTTTCTCTTCTCTGTTAGTTTATCCTTCCAGACCTACCTTCTCTCCTCTTACCTCTGTGGTTCCCTGAGAGTCACCTTTACGGACTGCACCACCTGGTGTCTGCCCCAGCAAGGGACTGCAGGAAGGGTAGATGTGGTTCCTCCACTCTCGGGCAGCATTTTAGTTACTGCCCCTAGCCTGCTGAAGCAAGCCTTCGGGGTGGTCACTTAGAGTGCTTCAGCATTCCTTGTTGGCTTCCTGTTGCTCTGTGCACTTTGTAACTGCTTTGTTAAAGTCTTCACAGCAACCCATTTGCGTGCTTCATTTGTTTCCTGCAAAGGCTGGTGGTGATGGTGGTCGTGGTGGTGGTGGTGGTGTGTGTGTGTGTGTGTGTTGCTGGGGATGAAACCAGGGCCTCAGCAACCATCCCACCAAGAGTTTGAATGACAGGAAATAGTAACAGATATTTCTTCATGTAACAGTGATATTCTTTCTTTTTTCAAAAGTTCGTTGAAATCTCTCATCTGTGGTCTTCTTTTTTATTTCTTTATATAGAGTCATAGGAGATCAAAGATAAAATTCTATGCTCAGTCCATTATGCGTTGCTTTTTTATTATGTTGCTTTCTAAAGAACAGCTCTATTGAGATATTCATATTGAAGGTATATAATTCTGTGATACCTTTCACAAACACAATGAAAATGCAGGACCTTGCAGTATGTGAGCCAAAAAATAAAAGACTTTTACAAAAAGGTTATAAGATTGATTTAATGATAATGTTTTCAACATACATGGAAAGGATACTGTTGGCACTTAGAATTGTGAAAAATGTCGGTTTCTCAAATTGATTTGTAGATGTTTTCAGTTCTCATTAGAACCCATTAAAGCTTTCTATAGAACTTTGACAAGTTGATTTTTAAATGTATATTCATATGCAAATACAAGGAACCAAGAATATTTCTGAAAAAGAAGAAACATGATACATGTATTACGAAGCTATTGTAATTATCACCATGTTGATGAGGAAGTAGAAAATTAGACCAGTAGAACAGAAAGAGCAGAGAGACAAATGTAAGAGAAAATTGATTATTTCAATCCCAGTTCTGCCCTATTCATTAAACTTCATGTATAAATCATTCAGGCCAAAGTTGTTATACATATCTGAGTTGTAGTTTTCTTATATTTGAGTTAAATTTGAAAACGAAAACTTTAAATCTTTTAGAAGACAATACTATTAAATGGATGGATTTCTTTAAAAAGATAGAAGCAGCAGGATAAAAACAAAGATTAAGCTAGGTGTCCTGCTGCACACCTGTAATCTCAGCATTCTCAGAGGCTGAAATAGGGGGATTACAGTTCATGCCCAGTATATGGGCAACTTTAATTTTGAAACTGTGTTTTAAAATTAAATTAAGGGCTGCGAATTTGCCTGCCTAGCAAGTGCAAGGTTGTGAGTTCGATTCCCGGTCCTGGAATAAAAAAACCAAAAACAACAACAAAAAATAAAATTAAATAAAGGTGGGGGGCTGGGAATATAGCTCAGTGCCAAATTCCTGGGTTCCACCCTGGTACTGCAAGCAAGCAATAAATAAGTGATAAGGACTCATTTAAAAAACTCAATAAAAATTAGTTGACAACTCATGGACTATGATAAGTATATCACATTGTAACTAATGCATGACTGTTGCTTTTCTCAAGTGATTTTTGGTGGCACAGCTTTAACAAAATGTGACTGACTCTTACTTGAGTCATGTTAGCCAGTAGCCACATGCACAATTTTTTGGTATCTGTCTCTATGAAAATACCTTGAATTCCTCAGGTTCTACAAGAGATCCAAACCCTTCAATTCTTTTCCCTGACCTAAAATTGTTTCCCACTGTAAGAATGTATTTGGGCCATCTTCAGTTATTCACAGATTTTCACTTGAAGAGATTTTGCCCTGAGAGTGAAGCTGAGTCTTAGGGGGCGTTTATGAATGCTAGCATTTTTCAGTGGTGTGTTTTATAGTCAAGTATTAGTAATTGTTGTATCTTGAGATCTTGGAAGTTGTTTAATCCATAGATTTTTCTTTTCTTTCCAACTGCTGCAGCCAGTACTTAGTTGAGTTCATCTTTTTCTTACAATATTTGGTTAAATGCAGCTAATATCATCTAATGGCTAAGAGAAAAATACCTTCTCAGCTTCTTTATGTAAATCCTCAAGTTCATTAATTACATTACCTCTCTTTGAGTTATCATAGGCCAGTGCAGTTTTACCACTACCTTATATTGGTCATGGTTTTTTGGCTTTTGTTAACGGTTACTTGCTACTCAGTCTGAATGCAGTGTCACATATGTTATATAGAATGTTTATCATGGCCACAACCTGCTCCTTCTACCAGTTTTTGTAGTAGTTTTTCCTGAGTAAGGCTGCTATATTAAATAATCCCAGCCAGGTGTGGTGGTGCACACCTGTAATCCCAACACTTGGGAGGCTGAGGCAGGAGGATCATTGTGAGTTCAAGACCAGCCTGGGCTACAAAGTGAGCTCAAGGCCAGCCTGAACTGCAGAGTGAGACCCTGTCTCAAAAAAACAAAAAAACAAAAGTTGGGTGTCATACTACAATAGAGGTTTATTTCTACTTCCTGTGTTAGCTATAAGGTGTCTGTGGTCCAGGATCCATTAAATGTGTCTTCCTTGGCGTTCCAGGCTGAAAGTATTTGTTACTACATCAAGGAGAAAAGTGAAAATGGCAAACCTTGTAATGTCTCTTAATCTCCTGGGGCAGGATGTAGATCTCTTACAGTTATGTTTTATTGGCCAAGGCAAGTAAATATGGTCAGGCCCTTAGGGAGTATTTTTCTCGTGAAGACGTTACTGTAAGTCATCAGGCCCAAGGACAAAGGGATAGGATAGTTGAGAACAGTAAAACCACTTGCACACTGACTTGTAGATATAGCCCCTAAAGTACTGCTTTCAAACTGCTGAGGTCTTAGCTGAAGAGAAACATTGAGAAATGTCAGTATATAAGTGATTATTCATAAGATCATCCAGGGAGGCTGGGCGTGGTAGCAACCACCTGTGATCCCAGTACTTTAGAGGCTGAGGCAGGAAGATCACTGCCAGTTCCAGGCCTGCCTGGGCTATAACATGAGTTCAAGGCCAGCCTGAACCCTGTCTCAAAAAGATAAAAACAAAAACAAAACAAAACAAAAAACAACAAGAGATCACCCAGGGTGAGGGAAGGATGCTAAGGTCTTCCTGGGAGAGACATCTGCAAAGGTTACTGAGAAGGAGCTGATAGAGGTAGTGGGGAAACAAGGAAAAACTGTCCTAGACCCTTGTTATAGAGCTATTTTTGCTTCAACAATTACAACTTTTAAAAAAGAAATGCAAGTACTTTAAATCTTGCCAGTATGTACTAGCACAAGACTTAGTTTCCAAGTAGCCTGAGAAATTTAATACATTTTTAAATTATTATTACAGAGATTTGCCACAGTATGGACAGAAGCAGTGGCAGTCCTACTTTGGAAGAACCTTTGATGTTTACACCAAACTCTGGAAGTTCCAGCAGCAGCATCGGTAAAGGAATTTTTTCAGTTAAAGGAGAATGCAGGTCCATTTTATATTAATTGCAGCTTTGACCTTTAACTTTTTCATAGCTTTTTATCTTGGTACTTTAAAAATAATATATTTCAGCTTCATGACCTAAATGAAAACAAACTTCCTTGTTTATGATTTTTAAATGTAATGTTCTTACCTGAGTTTTAAAGACAGTGTTGTATCCAGAGTGGTTCAGATGAACTCTAGCATGGTGGAGGAGTCATGGTTTCACTCTAAACTACATGAAAGTGATTGGGGGTGGGGGGCGTTGCTCCTAATTGTCATGATCATAGCTCAGAGTAGTTTGTTTTTACATGTGAGCTGACTTTAAATAGACATTTAATAAATGCTTTTCTAAATTTAGCTAAGTGGGTATGTTGAAATATCTTAGGGAATATATGAACTTTGCTAATTGGATGGTATTTTATCCTGTTGGATCTGGATATTTGATTATGTTTTATATTTATGGCTTCTTATTTCTATTTTCTTGTCTCCTATAAAAACAGACAAGTCTTGGATAATCGGTATGGCCTGAAGCGGTGGCAAATAGGGGAAATTGCTTCCAAGATTGGGCAGCTATATTACCATTATTAGTAAGTGACTTGTACATGGAAAGACATAAAGTGTCGCCCACATTACAACACAATGTGCAGGAGTGTGCATAGTATGTTTACTTTCTAGGAGGGATGACAATATGTTACAAATGAAATCTGGTTCGGACCAGATTGATGAAGACAGCATCATGAAATGAACTTTGATAATCCATTGAGTCCAACTTAAAGGAGTTTGATCTTGGTTTTTGTTTTGTTTTCTTTTTGGCAATAATGGGCATTGAACTCAGGGCTGTATACATGCCAGGCTTGAGCTCTGCCACTGAGTTACATTTGCAGCCCTTGATCTTGGTTTTTGATAAATGATTAATACTAAATGAATTTATTATTCTTATGGTTTCATTCAACTCTTGATAGTTTGCAGAGACCTACCATAGCTTGTATGTTGAAATGATTAGTTTTCAGAAAGATACTTTTAAAAACACCTCTTCGTAGGATTTTGAACATTACATAAAATATAATGAAATTACATGTAATTTAAACAAATGTAATTTAATTACATTTGAACATTACATAAAATACATCAAGATACTTTAGCTTATATCCTTAGAACAATAGCATTTGTGTAGTCCTACCCTTGAGTCAAGGAGAAAAGAGCTCCTTTTATGAATTTAGGTGTCATTCTTATAAGTGGCAGTAGGTATAAAATTTAAAAGACTTGAACCATTTATGGAGTTTTAAAATTTTTATTTGGGGTGCCAGGAATGTAGCTCAATAGAATCCTACCTGCCTGGCAAGCACAGGGTCCTGAGTTTGATTCCCAGAACCAAAATAAAATAAAATTTTATTTTGTTGGGGGAGGCAGTTGGACCACTTGTAATTTAAATGGCAAGAAAAGTAATTTATCTTCCAAAATTTCACATGCCATTGAAAATGCCTGCCATTAAACTATTTTGCATTGAAGAACATATTCCTAAACTGGGAGTAGTGGTGCATGTCTGTAATCCCAGTGCTCAGGAGGCTGGGGTAGGAGGATTGCTGTGAGTTAGAGGTCAGCCTGGGCGACGTAGCAAGTTCAAGGGCAGCCTGAACTCCATGGTGAAACCCTGTGTCAAAAAAATAAATAAATAAAATAAAGAATGTGTTCTTAAAAGTCCCTTGTAAAATTAGATGTGTTAAACAGGGAACACAACTCATTAGCATCCCTTGAATAATAATAGAAGTTAGTCCTTCTATGAGTTTTGTGAGGGGAAAAATAGAGAGATGTGGTCCAAAATTCAAGTGAGTCTATGGGCTTGGAGAAGGTCATGTGAAGGCTCTGGCCCCAGGGGCAGATCTAACCTGGCAAAATGCTGTCTGGAGAATCCCTTTGCTGAAGGAGAATGATGTGTACTTTGGCAGCAAAAAAGGCTTGGGAACAGTGGGATGGTATTATTATCATTATTTAAAGGTGATATGAGTTTTGCCTTGGTTTAAATTTAGTAAAAGGCGAAAGATTCATTCGATCTGAAGAGAAACCAGAGTACCTTGGTTCAAATTTAGGACAATCACTCCTATCTCTTGTCTAGGGCAGTGGAGCAGTATGAAAGAAGTATTTATCATGTTGAAGTTTTGGTTTTGCTCATATTTAATATTTTTTTCATAGCTTACGCACTTCTGAGACCAGCTATCTGAATGAGGCTTTTTCCTTCTATTCTGCCATCAGACAGAGATCATATTATTCTCAAGTCAATAAAGAGGACAGGTATGTGTTTGGTTTGGTTCTATAAGGGAGAGGATAAAAGACTTAAAATCTGTAGTCTGTGTGGAAATTGTGCAGAAAGGGGCACATTTGTTTGTAACTTCCAATCATTTTGTAGGCTTTATTGAGTACCTACTAGGTAACAGGCCTTCTAAAGCATGCAGAGTATATGTTACTTGAAAGCAATTCTCTTGTAGATGGTATAACACATGTCACGATGCAAGGTATAGTCACAACACAAAGCAGGTTGGGGTTCTTTCTTTAGAAAAGATGAGGATCTGTTCTTTGCTATGAAATGACTTAAGTGCATTGAAGCTAATAATCTTTGTTCTTTTTACCCTGCATAATCTTAATCATATATCTTAAAAACCCTATTGTCGTGCAGGATCAGAAAAAAGACTGCTAATGCTGTTTGATTTTTCTTTTTTAAGCCCAATACTTGTTTTGCAGTTGTGTAGCTCTGCTATTTAAAAAAAAAAGAAATCATGTAAAATTTATCTATTACCATTAGAAAATCTGTTTAGCAGTATTACATATCTGGCACTGTGGCAAATGTTTGGGTGAGAGCAGAAAAAGGAAAAGAAGGTGTGCTAGTTCCTTCAGAAGATTATCTTCTAATGGAGATAATTATTATATGGGTTACAGTTGGACTGCATTATTTATTTATTTTGACTTTTGAAAAGATTTATTGTCACATACCTAATGCAAAAGCCGAGGATAAACCTTCAGTACTTGGATCTAAGTACTGAAGCAGTGTCGTTAGGAATCTCTCCTGTTGTGCTTTGGCTACAGGTTGGTTTCACTCGCAGGCAGTCTTCCTCAGCTACCACCTGCAGACTTAGGTTGCAGAAGTGTAGCATCATTAGCAGAAAATAATACTCTTTCTTAGTTGTTTAGCAGAAATCCTACCACCAATTCTAACTTGTAAGACCTGAGTCGTGGGCTCATCCCCTGAGTCAGGAAAGTGATGTTACCCTTCCCAAACTACATGGACTGAGAGTGGAAAAAGGTGGTTCCCATAGAACATAAGGATGCTATTTTCAGAAGAGAGCATGTGCTCTGGGTAGGCAAAAGCTAGACTGCAACATTTAGACAAAGGATGAAATTGTGGAAGAAATAAGGGATCTACTACAGAGTCTGTCACTAGGATTCCAAGAATTATTGGAGGGGAAAGTTCAAACACAGGTTTGTGTGTTTTCTGTACTCCCAGCAACAGAACTCACAGTTGTTCTACAGAGAAAAGATTGTATTTTCTTGGCAATTAAAAACAACCGTAGTTTCATAGTTTTGACTTTTTTTTTTTTTTTTTTTTGAGACAGGGTCTTGCAGTACAGTTCAGGCTAGCCTTAAGCTCACTTTGTAGCCCAGGCTGGTCTCGAACTTGCAACAGTCCTCCTGCCTCAGCCTCCTGATGGCTGAGATTACAGGTGTACGCCACCTTGCCCCGTGCTTGACTTGTTTTTCTAGATGTAGTGGTTGACTTAAGTTTTCCACCTAAACAGTAACAGTTTTTGGAAAGCTCTGCTGTGATAAATCCCCTTCTTTCCCTTATACATCTTGTTCAGGCTTGTCAAGGGGAGTCTTCTTGACATATGGTGTGACATATAGATGCTGGATTCTCCATTTTACTCTGATTTTTTTCTGCCATCCTATTACTTCTACTTCATCCTCTATCAAAGTTCCATCAGTTACTTTCCTTCAGGTTTTCTTACATGGTTTGCTTCACATACTTCCACTACAGAGATATTTCCTCAAACCCCAGTTTTTTCCCCATTAACGTTACACAGTTTATTTCTTGGTGAGATGAATTGCACCTATAAAAAGCACGAGAGGGCTGTGTAACATTTCATCAGCATTAAAAATATATGTAAGCAGAGATCTATTTGAAGCAATAGGAAAATACCTTGTGTAATTCACTTTTCTGCATTTTCTAATGTGGCAAAAGGGAAATTGGCTCTGGGCCCCTTGGCTTAAAATCCAACAGTTTGATTTATTGTAATCATTTTCTAGTTTAATAGCAAACACCACATCTGAACTGTTTTCCTTTGCTGCCTCCTAGAGCAGTTCGGATTAACCAAAGTAGGATTATTTGAATCCAGGATAACAAGATCTCTTGGTCTGGGCCAGTAAAGTAGAATCAAATAATAATCCAGTATGCAAAACTGGCCCTTTTTGTTGGTAGATTGATTGTTTCCTAGTTTACATGGGGCAAGGAGGTCAGTTAAGGTAGCAATGAAGAAGAGCTGCTAAAATTAATAGCCAATAAAAACTAAGTAAGAAAGTGTTACATAATTTCACACTTCATTTAAAAGGCAAAATCAGCTGGGCATAGTGGTACACACGTGTAATCCCAGTACTGAGGAGGCAGAGGCGGAAGGATTGCCCCTCGTTTGAGGACAGCCTGTGCTACATCATGAAACCCTGTTTCAGGGTCAGACTCTTTTTGGTTTATATCTTTTAAAACTGAGTAACTACTTTGAACATCATAGTTCACTTATAATAATAAGTCATTAATATTTCCAGTGTGAATCAACAGTATTCTACTGATTTTCCTTCTGATTTGATTTTTACTTCTGACAGTGTCTTAGGCTAGATAGCCTAAAATGCTTTCTGTTCCAAAACACATAGTAGTGCTGGGTAAAATGCATCAGTCGTCTCTTTAATGAATAGCTTAGATGTCAAGAAAGTAGAGAAGACCCTAATTCAGTAATCCTGTGACCAGTTCTGTGATGACTTTGAGAGTGAGGATTGGGATGGTGACAAAAAATGCATGTACAATAAGGACTGGCAAGAGGAAGTTATCCTATTACTTCCTAAAACAGATTTTGTGAGATAGTAGTCATCATGATAATGATTAGTTCAGTTATTAAAGTGGGACCAAATCCCAGATCACAACAACATGAAGAAAAGGAGTAGGAAGTATACTGTTCTAGTGAGGTCCATTATTTTTAGGAAGAAGCATCTTGTTAGTAAAATTTACTAAACTTTTAAGAAAAACATTTTCGTAGAATATAAGGAGAATGTGTGACCTTGGAACAAGTAAAAGGGGGAAAGTGAGTGACACAGTTAGGATCACTATAGTAGAATGCAAGAAAAGAAAACGTATCCCAAATTGTACAAATAGCACAAAATGATAATACACAAGTCCAAAGGTAGTGGTACTTCTAGTAAGTGGAAATGATCTTAATTTCCCAGTGAAAATACAGAGATTTCCAGAATTCCTTTTTTTAGAGAAATCCAGTAATGCAGTATTGTGCTATTTGTTTTGTTTCGCAGGACTGATGCACAACTTTTGGTTTTTTAAGAAAAATTAATACAAAGGCTTACTAAATTGCCAGGCTGGGCTAAACGTGAGATTTCCTGCCTTAGAGTGCTGGGATTATAGGCATGTGCAACCACATCCTGCCAAGGTGGGAAATGTTATTAAGGATCATTTACCCCATAATGATAAAAAGGAGCTCAGGAAAATATAAACTGTCTAATTTTGTACATACCAATAATGTAGTGCTAATAAAACAAAAAGTGACATTAATAAAGCAGAAAGTGGGAAAATTGATAAATGATCAGATACAAATGGAATATTTTGATATATAGTACCTGAATTCATGAACTTAATCTTTCTACACTTCTGGTCGCAAACCAAATTGGACAAGAACTAAATCAGATTCAGTGGTTAGGTTCAGGGTTGACATGGGGAAATTTGATTTGATTTTCATCCTGTTCCAGAAATGTGGAAAGAATTAAATTCATGAACTGAAGAACTACTGTATCATCCTTAATAATTTATATATCTAGAAGTTCAAAAATTTATAAGATTTGAGAAACAGTTAAAAATTTATCCCAGTCATGTTGGTGCAGACCTGTAATCCCAGCACTCGGGATCCTGAAGCAGAAGGATCACTGTGAGTTCAAGGCCAGCCTGGAATACACAGTAAGACCTGGTCTCAAAAAACAAACAGGTTGCTCTAAGGTGCATAAAACTATGTGCGAAAGTAAGCCAGTATATTTCTAAGCTTACATAAAACTTTGGTGAACTTGACTTTCAAGTATGTGTTCACTAACTATGATTCCATTAAATACAAGAATAAAACATAGCTTTGAAAGACCAACTTACCAATTAACATTCATGTTTCTAATTCATAACTTGAAGATTTTTTTAAAAAATACTATATAAAATTTCAAACATATACAAATATACTATTGTAAGTTTATTGAATTTGTGATTTGAAGTGTACAAAGCAGGAAGTAGAAGTTGGAAATGGCAGGTTTGAATTTAGAAGTGGTAAGTGGAAAGTGTAAGGTGTGAATAAGTACAGCGTAGGTAAGTTAAAGGATACTGCTACTCTTAACAGCCACTAAAAAGTGCAATAACAAAGAAGTAGTATAAGCAAGAAGTCAGTAGAGGATATTAAACAAAACATTAAAATATATTTTATTAATCAAAAAGAAAGTAAGAAAGAACTTGATGTCGGAGAAGTTCTCAAGAACAAAAGGGGCGTATTGAAAGCAAATAGCGGGGGCTGGGGATTTAGCTCAGCGGCAAAGCGCCTGCCTGGCAAGCGCAAGGTCGTGAGTTCGGTCACCAAAACTGAATCAAGAAGATTGAAAAACCTTGAATAATCCAGTAACAGGCAGTGAAATTGAAGCAGTAAAAAACAAACGAACAAAAAACCCCTATTCACTAAAAGAAGCTCAGTTCCAGGTGGATTCACTGTTGCATTCTACAAAAACTTAGGGAAGATCTAACACCAATACTCTCCAAGCTCTTTAGTGAAATTGAAAGGGAAAAAGTACCCTCAAAGGCATTCCTGGAAGCTAGCATTAATCTAATTCCAAAACCAGACAAGGATTCAACCAAAACAAAGAACTCTGGACCAGCCTCTAATGAATATAGATGCAAAAATCCTCAGTAAGATACTGGCAAACAGAATACAACAAATCATCAAAAAGATCGTTATATCCTGACCAAATAGGGTTTATCCTAGGGATGTAAGGATGATTCATTGTAGCCAAATAAATACATATCACATAAACAAAGATGGACAAAAATCACAAGATCATCTGAATAGATTCAGAAAATACCTTTGACAAAAATCTAACATCCTTTCATGATAAAAACACTAAAGAAAATAGGTATAGAAGGACCTTTTCTCAATTTGATAAAAGCCATTGATGACAGGCCTACTACCAAGATTATATTAAATTGGGAAAAACTGAAAGCTTTCTTTCTAAAATCAAAAACAAGACAAGGATGTCTACAGTCACCACTCCTGTTCAACACAGTACTTGAAACATTAGCAAGAGCAACTGGGCAAGAAAACATATATATATATATAGGAAAAGAAGTAAATTATCATTTATTTGCAGGATCCTCATTTATAGACATGATCCTCTACATAGAAGACCCACCAAAAGACTTTTAGAATTGATAGCTAAATTCAGTAATGTAGCAGAATATAAAATCAACATACAAAGATCCATAGCATTCCTCTGCACTGACAATGAACACACTGAGAAAGAAATTAGAAAACAATACCATTCATAGTAGCACCAGGAAAAACTAAATAACTAGGAAATAGCCTAGTGAGGTAAAAACTGTCTACAACAAAAATTACAGTACTGTGAAAAAGGAAATTGAAGTGGGCATCAGAAAATGGACAGATAAAACCTTCCTGGACAGGCAGATCCAATACAGTCAAAAGGCCATACTTCCAAAATTGATACCCAAATTTAACATAATCCCAGTCAGAATACCAAATGCATTCTTCAGAGAACTGAAGAAAACAATCCTAAAATTCACAACCAGAAGAGACGGACAATAGCAAAAGCAATATTGACTAACGAGCAAAACACAAGGCATCATAACTCTGGACTTGAAGTTATATTAAAAAGCTATAGTGATTAAAAACAGCATGGAGTAATACAACAGCCATTTTTAATTTCCTATCACCTTGTTTTGAAATTCTGTATTGTTTTTATTATTTTCATGTTGTTTTATGTCTTTGTTTTTGTTATTTTGTTTTTCTTTTCTCTTTAAGAAGAAAAAAGAAAAATAGCACGGTGGCACAAAAACGGACATGAGGTTCAGTGGAAAAGAATAAAGCATGCAAAAACAACCCAAAGCACATTGAACAATTTGAAACTTTCACAAAGGGCCTGTTGTAGACAGGGTTTGCAAGGAAAACAATACAGGACACATAATTTTTAGGATTATTTTATAATAATCACCCAAACAGAGCAGGAAATCTGTCAACACACTAAAGACCCAAGGAATCCAGTAAAGGCCTGGATCCTACGACAGTGTCCTGCACAAGTCCAACTAAAGATGCGGAGCCCATCACGATGCCCCCCACAAGTCGAGCTGGAGGCCAAGGGTGCATGCCAATGTTCACACAAATCTGGTTCACAGATTTGCACTGGGATAGCCTAAAGGTCATTGGTAGAAGCTAGAAAGTCTGTGGCAGTGGGATGAAGGGTCTGTGCCAGCAGGCTGAGGTATACGCACTGGAGCCAGAAAGCGATGCTCAAAGAACCAGAGCTCCTGCAGACGTACCACAGCCATCTTCAGTGACAGCGAGATCCCGAGTTCCTCTGATGATAATGGCCAGGTTCAAATCAGGAAAGCCAGCATGACAAGCTCCTCCCAGGAGAACCAACAGCCCCCCCTAACAGCACCGCCTCTTCTTCTCCAGTTCTTTTTATGTTGTAGGCAACAATCCTCAGGTGGGCCCTCCACACCCAGCATCATGCTAATTCAGTTCAGCTGGGAGTTACAAGCTGACCACCAGTTGTCAATCCACCATCAGGCCAAAAACGTACAGTGAAGGAAAAATAGCCACTTTAATAATAGTGTTTGCAAAATTAGCTATTCACATGGAGAACATTGAACCTAGACCTGTGTCTCTCACCATGTACTAAAATAATAGTTAAATAACTAAATGTTAAAACAGATTTATTTTGCTGAAAGATAAAATATGTAAAACTCTTGAAGTCGTAGGCATAGGCAAGGACTTTCTGAATAGATCCCTGGTTGCAGAGGAAATTGTGAGAATCAAATGGCATCATATCAAATTAAAAAGCTCTGCCCAGCAAAAGAAACAACCAGCAGAGTAAAAAGACAGCTTATAGAATAGGAAAATTTTTTTGGCCAGCTATTCCTTAGCCGACTAATAATTTAGAATTTATAAAGAACTCCAGAAAATCAGACACCTCTCAAATAAAAGACCTAATTAAAAAAAATGGGCAAATGAAATAGATGCCAGAAGAAGTACTAATGGCCAATAAAGACGTGAAGAAATGTTCAGCATCCCTGGCCTATAGAGAAATGCAAATTAAAACAACACTGGGATTCCATCTTAGCCCAGAAAGAAGGGTTCTTACCAAGAAATCAAATAATAACAAATGCTGGCATGATGGGGGAGTAAAAGGAACCCTTCTGTGTTGCTGATGGAAATGTAAAGTAGTACAAACATTATGGAAACCAGTGGGGAGATTGTTCAGAAAACTGAATGTGTAAATCCCATTTGACTCAGCTATTCTCCTTCCAGTTATTTTTCTGAAAGAGGTAAAGACATCATATTACAGTGAAACATACATACCCATGTTTATAGCAGCACAATTCATAATAGTTAAATCTTGGAAGCAGTCTGTGTGTCCATCAATGGATGGATAAAGAAAATGTGATATTTACATTCACTGGAGTACTACTCTGTCATAAAGAAAGATAAACTTATAGGAAAATGGCTGCACCTTGAGACCATAATGTTAAGTGAAATAAATCAGACACTTGCACTTAAATATTGCAAGGTTTCCCTTAGATAAGAGACCCAAATTATAAGTAAAGAGTAAAACAAAATAAAAAAATAATGGGAAATAGGGAGATGGATCTTTCTCAAATAGGAGTGGGGTCATGAGATGGGTGGGGCAGGAGGGAGGAGAAAGGAATGGAATGAAAAGAGGTATTAAGATGTGAATGAACTCTACGCAAAGAATATAAAAATTATGTATTTACAAACATACACTAATAAAAAGCAGTTTTTTCAAAATGAAAGAGGTAGTCAACAACTACATTATATGGTTTAAGTACATCGAATAAGGCAGGAATTGTCAAATTGGATTTTTTTTTCCTGGGGGTGGATGGTACTGGGAATCGAACTCACGACCTCGTGCTTGCCAGGCAGGCGCTTGTGCTGCTGAGCTATATCTCTGGCCTAGAGTGGATTTTTAAAAAGCTATATTACGAAAGATGCATTAAATAAAAAAGATACAGGCAATTGAAAGTAGAAGGATGGAAAAAACCTCCTGGTATACAAAGAGTATGCGTGACAAAGCTGGCTTTGTTATTAATATCAGGAAAATGAATTTCAAAGAAAAGAATGTTTTTCCTGGAATTATTGTCACTTCATATTCTTCTTCCTGTGGGCTTCTTCACTGAAGCATTAACTTTTACTTCACCCAAGATCCAGTCTTGTGGGCTCAGATAACATTCTTTATTTTTCTAGTCATTAAATTTTCCCCTGTTTTAAGTACTTACCTGACTGTTACATTTTCAGACTTTTTATCTGTAAGGTTTGTAAAGAAGAAATTTTGTCTTTATATATTTTATTTATTTATTTTTTTGTTTTTGTTTTTTTTTTTGTTTTGTTTTTCTCCGGTACCGGGAACCGAACTCACGACCTTGTGCTTGGCAGGCAGGCGCTTTTGCCGCTGAGCTAAATCCCCAGCCCCCTGTCTTTATATATTTTAATCATCGTACTTTCAGCATGCGGCATCGTGCCTAATGCACGCTACATTCTCAAAAGATATTTGTTGAGTTGGAGTGAAGGGTAAAAGACTATGTTCATAGCAGTGCCAACATTTGAAGTGGAGCCTTATGTATTTCATCACCTCCAGTGGGAGTAGTTAACTCTGGAAGAGATCAAAAGAATAAAAAGACTTAACTCAGTTGGAAGCAAAAAAATATATATTTGTTGAAGCAGTGTATAAATGTATAAACTATAACTTAATTGCTGAATACAAAGTGTATGACTACATAGATATGTTTGGAAATGTTTGTAATTGTCAAAAGTGCTAGAGAGTTTAAAAAGCCATCAGAAAATGGGAAAAATAAACCAGTCGTGGTGGCTTAGGCCTATAATTTCAGCACTTGGGAGGCTGAGACAGTAGGATCATTGAGAGTTGGAGATCAGCCTGGGCTACAAAGTAACTTCGAAGCCAGCCTGAATTGCATAGTGAGACCCTGTCTCAAAAACACCAAAAAAAAAAAAAAAAGAAAGAAAGAAAAATAAAAACATACGTATTCTGTATGAATCTAATAATTTTTGATTTTCCTACCCTAGACCCGAATTGGTAGTCAAGAAACTACGCTATTATGCAAGGTTCATAGTAGTTTGTCTTCTTCTCAACAAAATGGATGTTGTGAAGGATCTGGTAAAGGTAAATGTACTTTAAAATAATTAAAATCTTAATCTGTAATGTATTTGGATAATTTTATGGGTTGGCTTGATTTTGTTTTTGAGCAGTACTGGGCATGGAACCGAAGGGCACTCTACAACTGACCTCTTTTTATTTTTTGAGATGGGGTTCTGCTATGTTGTCCAGCTGGCCTGGAATTTGTGACCTTCCTGCTTCAGACTCCTAGTAGACTGGATTATGACTATATACCACTGCACCTTGTGATAATTTTGTCTTTTAAAACCTAGAGTTAAAAAAAACAAAACAAAAGTAGAGTTTAGCCAGGTCTGGTGGTGCATGCTTGTTTATTCCAGCACTTGGGAGGCTGAGGCAGGAGGATCACAGTGCGAGGCTAGCCTGGGTTATGTAGTGAGTTCAAGGAGCCCAGCCTAAACTATGTACAGAGACCTTATGTCAAAAACAAAACAATAACAATAACAATGAAAAGCACAGTGGCCTGTACTCCTGGCACTTCGGGAGGCTGAGACAGGAGGATAGCAAGTTCCATCTGAGCCTGAGCAATTTAGCAACTTAAAGACCCTATCTCAAAAAAAGGCTTAGGATGTAATTCAATGCAAAGGCCTTAGCCAGGCGTGGTAGCTCACGCCTGTAATCCCAGCATTTGGGAGGCTGAAGCAGGAGGATCATTGTGAGTTTGAGACCAGCCTGGGCTACAAAGTGAGCTTAAGGCCAGCGTGAACTGAAGAGTGAGATCCTGTCTCAAAAAAAGACAAAAAAACAAACAAGCAAGCAACGGCCTTGGGTTCATTCATACTACGTTTTTTTGTTTGTTTTTTTTTTCTGGTACCAGGAATCAAACTCACAACCTTGTGCTTGCCAGGTAGGCAGGCACTGTGCCGCTGAGCTAAATCCCCAGCCCCATGTTTTTTTTAAAGTTAACTTTTGTCTTGTTTATTTTGTGTTTTCTGGTCCTGAAGATCAAATATAGGGCCTTTTGCATGCTAAACATGAGTTCTATCGTGAGCTATATCCTAAGCCCTGAAATGATCTTGATATATCTGCATGGTTATAACATTTAAAATATAATAACCTCTGACAAGGTTAATGATGAAAAAATTTCCAACTTTTTTCATATTTCAAACACATACTCCTTATAGATAATTATCTTAATTGCCTGCTTTGTACCTTCAGCATGGTTTGCAATTTCAGCCCATCAGTGGGTAACTGAGAAATGGAAATGTAACTTAGAATCCTTAGTTTAGGAGGAAATGATTGAAATGTTAGGTTAAGAATAAGTATATAATGTTTTACAAAAGTATAGTGAATGAAGTTTAGTTTTTCCATCAGAGAATCTGCACCTGACCCTTTATTCACTCGGGGAGTTAAAAGTTAACTGTTTTCAAGATCCACTCAATACTACATTCTGGTTGCATTCTGGACGCAGTGGTTTCTTTTTTTTTTTTCCACTCAATACTACATTCTGGTTGCATTCTGGACGCAGTGGTTTCTTTTT